AATTTATAATTTTTTGTAGTTTGGAAAGTTTTGCGAAAAATTGAAAAATGGAAAGTACCGTAATTTTGGAAATTTTGTTTCATAAATCATGAAAATGTATTTTCCTAGTAAGCAGATTTTTAGCTTCAAAATGAGTATAAACAAGACATATGCTGAAAGTTTTCACGATCTGGGGAAAAATCGATTATCGATTTTTGTGAAAATCTACCGTATCTTGAGTAGTTTTCGAGCTGTATCAAGAGTTAATATTGTTCAGGAATGAGCGTGTTTAGTGCTCCAAAATGAGCCTAGATCACTTTTCCTCAAATTCATTTTTATTCAAGGGACCATGCGCCTTTAAATCTGAAATTTCAAACTTTTGTAAAACATATCGTGTTTGAGTTCATTTTGAAGCTCTCAACTAGCTCAATTCTTATCTCTTTTTCGTTTTTTGAAATTTCAGAAATTTTTTGAAGTTTGGGGCGAATTTTAAAAAATTCAGGTTACACATTTTATTGTACACATGACCCACCGGTTGACGTATATGTTTTTTTCGGGATAATGAGTGGATATATGGATAGAAATGGAAGTGATAAACTTCATTGGGCCACTTATCGTGAGCCAGCCCATTTAGCAAGACAGGGAAAGGAACACGCGTAAGTGCGCTCCAAAGAGAAGATTCCAAAAAATCGATAATTTGCAGTGGGCACAGATTAGATCCAAATAGTGCGGATCGGTCTGATGAGCGTATTTACATGATCTATTTACATGATCTCGCTTATTTACATGATCTCGTTTTTTTTTGCTAAATAACCCAAACGCCTATTTTGTGAGCACCGATTACGAGTTTTTCATATCGTACCATTTTAACGCATCCATATTAACCTATTGCTTGTGATAATTGCGAGATTTCTCTCGCTACTTACTGATTCTGTAAATGTATTAGGTTGGCGGGAAAGTCTTTGTCACTTTTTCAATAGTTTATTTCTCAAAGAAAAAATAACCGAATAATTAATTATATTGTCCATCATTATCAACAACATGTCTCCAACGTTCCCTCAATTTATGGATTCCATTGCGGTAGAATCCAGCCGGGCGTGAGGCAAAGTATTGTTTGAGTGCCGCTTCGACCGCTCCACGGGAATTGAAGCTTCTTCCTTCGAAGGCACGTGTCATATCGCCAAATAACCAATAGTCGGAAGGAGCAAGATCAGGAGAATACGGGGGGTGAGGGAGAACATTCCATCCATATCCCATCAGCTCCTGCTTCACTTGTTTCGAAACATGTGGGCGAGCGTTATCATGTTGATAGTACACTTTCTTGTCTTTCAGGGCCGAACGGTCGACTGCTTTCTTGAGGTTTCGTAGTTGAGTAGTGTAGAGGTCTCCAGTTATTGTTTTGCCCTCGGGCAGAAGTTCCCAGTAGATGGGGCCGTCCACTCCCCACCACACAGAGAGCATAACTTTTTTCGGATGAAGGTCGGGTTTGGGGACATCCTGTGGGCTCTCTCCTTCTCCAACCCACTGGGATTTCCTGTGGTGATTATCGTAGAAGACCCACTTCTCATCTCCGGTTATTAGCCGGTCCAGCCATCGATCGCCCGCGTGGAGAGTGAGAAGAGTAATCGAATCGTCGACTCGGCGGTCAAGGTTGGCTTGAGTCAGGTGATGAGGTATGAATCGACCAAAAAGTTTTCTCATTCCAAGAGACTTCAAACCTTCAAGGACTGTGCTATGGTGAACTCCGAATGTGACAGCTAGTTCACGGCTAGATTGAAATGGATCCGATTGCAATGCGTGCTTCAGCTTGTCCAAATCCAACTCACGGGGTCTCCCAGAGCGATCCTTTTCATCGAGCGAGAAGTCATCTTTTTCGAAACGATGGAACCAATTGCGAATAGTATTGTAGTGAGGGGCATGTGTGTTGTACACATTCTTCAAGAAAGTTTCCGAATCCTTCATCGTGGTGTGAGATAGGAAGAGGTAAATCAAAACATGTCTGATGTGAATAGCAGTGGGAACAAACATATCGTTTCAATTACAGATGAGGAGCAGGGAAGGAAATGGGGACTTGTTTATATGGAAGGTTCTTATCACCTTGTTATTCACTAGAGTCGATATCATACACAGCCTCCATATACGAGAACAGTGATTAAACAAACAGAGTGACAAAGACTTTCCCGCCAACCTAATATCCTGTGAACCTTTTTTAGAATTGAAAAGCCTTAAATTTTGTTGAAATTATATCTCACTGGTAACCAATAAAAGTGATTTAACATTTATTTTCAGTATTCACATGCAACATATGATAAAATCGGAAAAAAAATACTGTTCTTTCAAAAAAACCGGTAACTAAGACAGGGTTTCATCGAGAACCCTGCAAAACACCTATTGTATTATTCTGGTACAAAAAAATCGGGGATGTTGAAGAGAAACACCGTGGACGTGGTCGAAGGTCCCACAACGACAACTACCGTAATCTTAAAATTGTATTTTTCAGAAATTATTTTCTCGAGCTCTTCAGTCAACTTCTTCACTTTCAATAACTTTTCATTTTTAACTTGTTTCGGGAAACATAACGGAAAATTGACAAAAATCAGAAAAACCGAGAAAATAATAAATCCGGAAAATACAAAACTTTTAGGTTACTGTAGTTGTCGTTGTGGGACCGCCGGTGTTTCATTTCCACGTTTCCGTTTTCCCCCCGTTTGGGAAGTAAACTCTTTCAGAAATCGTGAATGGTTAATGATCAATTGCAATTAAATTTTTATTCAAGTTCGAAAAAATCGATTCAAGAATGGATAGGATACAGATTATTCATAAAAGAGAGATGAAAAATAAGTTAACATTTAGTTTCTCGCTACCGGTTTTTTGTAGCTTTTTGTGACATTTCTGGAGAGCAAATGATACTTCTCAATATCATCCAAAAGACGTTCCATCTTTTCCGTAATGACTCGTTTGTACCCCTCTTTATCCTCATTTTCTGAGCACATCATCAGTTTTCCCTGAATGTATTCTTTATATATTATAGGTGGTCTTCTACAAAAGAGACTACCTGAGTGACAGGGCCAAAAAGAGGCAACAAAGCAAGTCCTCCAGTGACAAAGTAGCAACGGTAGGATTCTTTCAACTGAAATTAACTGAAAAGTCTAATACATACATCGATAAACAACTTACCTGATCAAGGGTGTATGGTGCTTTTTCACTTTGAAGAGCTTCCAAGAAATATATATAAAACTGATTCAAGAGATGCTTCCAATGAGTCTGTCTATCAGCTCCAGAGAGAGTTGATACGAAGAGACGGACTATATCTTCAGCTGGATTTCCCATATGTATTCCCTGAATAATGTACGTTTCGAAAATGTTAACAAGTCTGGGTCTACTTACCGCGTAGTCGATTATTTTATCTGCAATTGGTTTTCCGTTTCTCTCCTTCCATAGAATATTGGTGGACCATAAATCTCCATGAACTAATACCGGTTGATTGATTCCTGAGTCAGAATAAGTTTACTTCAGTTTATTACTTGATTTGCTCCTTACCAACATATTTGTTGAGGTTACAAGCTAGCTCAAAATTCACAACTCCATGTCCAAACTCCTCAATCTTCTTCACTTTTTCATCCAATTTTTCGAGGTTGATAAGACGAGCCTGCTGGAGAATTCCTTTAATTCCATCTTCAGTTAGAGCTGGTCCAGCCAATTTAGCAAAATCGAATCCACTGATGCTATTCTTCTCTTCCTCGTTCAACTGAAGGGTACCGGCTTGGAAATAAGCAAGTGATTTCAGAACCTGAATACCGTAATTAATAAAACAAAGGTGTTCCTAGTTTTCTTACTGGATAGAGTTCTATCGGTTTCACATTGACATACAAATGTCTGACAACACTATTCTCAACGTATTCCATCCCGATGAATCCTTTACTTTTATTATCAGAATCGAACTTCTTGGAGAAGTAAATTTTTGAATTGAGCAGTGTTTCTCCTTTTTCCCACTTTTCCAAAATTGTATTCATATTGACTTCTCTGTTGTGAACTCCATGTGATTCTGCCTCCAACATCATCATAAGTCCTGCTTCTTGTTCTTTGCTCATGGGATTTGATCCCATCATTTGTCGTATTAGTCCTTGACAATGAACACAATATGGGATTTTTAAAACGAATTTCGAAGGAAGATGATCCGCATCGACGGTCCAATCAGGTTCAACTAGTATGATTCGGCTCATGATTCCCTTAAAAGGAGCGTCGGATGAATTAATCAAAGTACGGTTGATTTCTTATTTTCTTAAGTTGCTCATTTTTTGAATCATTCAATAAACAGTTTAAAAGCAGCATCAATATTACTGAAACTATGTCCGGTTCTGAGCAGCATACAGATCATCTGAATGAATTTTCTCAAAAAAGTTGTTAACTATAAAATTAGAGATCTGATTTGGATTCATTGAACTGAAAAGTTTCAGACTTCAACAAAAGTTCCTAATCCCTTTTGTAGGCGTTTACCGTATCTTGTCTAATAGCATCCCAGCCAAATCTTAAACTTTGAGCTCAATTATTTTGGTTCCTGTAAAAGATATAAAAAAGTGGTCAACTGACAAAATTTTTCTCATAATATCAACAATATTTTTTTAGTTGGCACAAAGTAAAAAGTAAAGAGTAGGGTTGTCTCACAGAGTATTTACGGTTCGGTATATCATCTGAAAGAATTTTCTCAAAAAAGTTGTTAACTGAAAAATTAGAGTTCTGATATTGATTTATTCATTTGAAAAAATTTCAGACGAAAAAGATATCTCATTATCCTTTTTGTGGAGATTCAATGTTGTGTTCTTGAACGAAAACTGTAATTTTGGATACCATAGTTCCTCTAATATAAGCCCACCCAAACCGTCAACTTTGAGCTCAATTATCTCGATTTTTAGAAAAGATATAAAACTCTGTGAACGGAAAAAAGCATTTATCCTAATACCGTATTTCCTCTAATAGAAGCTCATTGGCTTCTATTTTTCAACCTCTCTCCCAAGGTGGGCTTCTATTAGAGTTGGACTTCAATTAGAGGGTGGACTTCTATTTTTCAATGAATAATTTTCAAAAAAAATTGTGTTCAAAAAATTAGAAATTCGACAATTTGGAAGTTAAGAATTCTAAACTTTGGTGTTTTTTTAATTCGAAGTTTTAATTCTGCAATTCTACACTCCAAAATTCCGAATGAAATTCTGATATTCCAGAAACTGGAAATTCAAAATACAGGAATTCTGTAACTCAGAAATAGGGGAATTTTCGGTTTAGAAATTGAAAAATAGAAGCCCATGGGCTTCTATTAGAGGGTGGGCTTTTATTCGCGGGGTGGGTTTCTATTAGAGGTGGGCTTCTATTAGAGGAAATACGGTATCTCGCCGAAGGCGCACCAGCTTGCTGGTATATAAAACGCTAGAGGCGTTTGTCTGTCCTCTTGAGGATCTGCGGACTTTTGAAAAACTTGAAAAATAAATATAGATTTACGTGACCCTTTATGATAAAATGAGGAGTGGAGCGACAAACCAGTGAAAAACCATATTAAATCGCGTAGAAGCTTGCTGGTCACCAATAATTTATCAGTTGACACATTTTTGATATTTTTCACAGGAACCGAGATATTTGAACTCAAAGTTGACGGTGGGCTTCTTTTAGATGAAATACGGTATATATTTTTGGAGATTCAAATATCAAATAAAAGAGGTTTGGTTAATTTCTTACAAAAATTTACCTTAGAAGTTTGAAAAAGCACTTACATTTCCTTCTCCAATTAGAATATACTTGGTGTTCTTTCCGAGAATTGATTTCGTATTCAATTGCTCTTGAATCACTTCTTGAACATTCTTGTAGTGTGACATGAGTATTGAAGAGTCCATCTCCGTTTTCCAGAATACTAAGCTGCTTCATTTTTTTTTCAAAAAGTAGAACTTTTGCAGTACTTCTGAATTCCGTTATATACCCAAAGAAAAACACACGCGTAGTTTATGCCTAGATTCTCAGCTGTGTTTTATGTGAAGAGACGCAGACAAAGAGAGACAAGAACACAACTTTTGTGCTCAAGATTGGAGACTTTTTTTGTGTTTTTGAACTTATTCTTGTAGTTATTTTAGGATACTTGTGTCACATGAATTCTGGATTATTATTAATTTGAGTTCGAAGAGTCGGATTCATGTTTCATACGGTGCAAAAAAAACCGAAGCTGTCGCTGAGAAACCCTGGTGGCCGTAGCCGAGAATCCACAACGACAACCAAAAAAGGTTTACAGAGGTGTGATACCATAGTAAATACACCGGCTAGAAAAAAAAATGAAGAGAAATCGGCTCAAAATGGAACCAAATAAGAATATCACTTCAATTTCTGGCCGTAGGCCGGATGATGCTAGTCGAAATGTTCAAAAATTCAATAATTAATCAAAAATGCGATAATTTACAAAATTCCATAAAAATCCCAAAAAAACCAAAAATTGATAAGACAAGAAATTGATCAGACAAAAAATCTATAAGAGAACCAAAAAAGAGATGTGAAAAGATGTCAATTAGATTCAGTGCTTTAGTGCTTAAAAGACCCAATGGATTACTGTAGTTGGAAATTGTAAAGAATTAAATACTGTGGTTGAAATCCATAGGGTTATGGTAATCAAACATTTGCCTTGTTCAAACATTTGCCTTGTTAATCAAACATTTGCCTTGTTTGTACCCAAATCTGACACGTGGAATTCGAAATTTCGTTGAATCCACAATTTGGCGATCCACATGGCATGTATTTCTCATTGAGTTTCTAAATTTAATTAGGGATAATTAGGGGACTAATTATCACTTAATTACCTGCTCATGAAATCATAATTTTCAGCGATTTTTCGCTTTATTTCAGGTGGAAACTGGCTCCACGAGACCATTTCTATAATGAAAGGGAAATTGATTTTTGTCAAGAAATTTGAATTTTCAAATTTCAAATTTAACGTGTAAAACCTCGCAAGAAGTTCAAACAAGAAATCGCAGGTCAGAATTTGTAAATTCCACGTAAAATTTAAAATTTAAAATTTAAAAAAACATTCAAATTTCCCGGCAAAAATCACTTTCCTCTCAAAATGGTATCTTGGAGTCAATTTCCACCGGAAATAAAGCGAAAAATCGCTGAAAATTATGATTCATGAGCAGGTAATTAAGTGATAATTAGTCCCCTAATTATCCCTAATTAAATTTAGAAACTCAATGAGAAATACATGCCATGTGGATCGCCAAATTGTGGATTCAACGAAATTTCGAATTCCACGTGTCAGATTTGGGTACAAACAAGACGAATGTTTGATTTGTATTTATACGGGGATCGAGAAGTTTTTGAGACTGGAAATTCTGAAATTTGAGAATGGAGTTGTCGTTTTCAAGTGAGCAATGAATCAATAAGAAATTTTCAATTTTCATAAAATTGGGTCGAAATGAGTATGAACATGACCTGCTTTGAAGAAATTTGATTTTTTGAAAATCTTGACGCATTCTCAGTCTCTTGATGGAATTGCCGTGTTTCGGCTTGTTTTTTGTGTCTTGGCGCATTTTCAGTGCATTGGCGCATTTCTGGCGCCTTGACTCAAACATCGTTCTTTTTCAAGACATGTCACGTTTACAATCATTTTGATGGTCTTGCTCTGCTGAACTTAAATTTCTAATTTTAAATTTAAAAAATTAAATTTTCAACCCAAAAAAAGTGAAACTTTCAGATGTGAAAACTCGCCCGACTTGGCAGATTCCATTCAAAAATTCATTCCATCCACTTTGCCATTGAATGAAGGATTGCTCATTCTTAAATCTCTTCTGGCTCATGAATCAATTCAAATTTCAACAATGGAATGGGAAATTGAAAGATTCGTCACAAAAAACGAGTCGTTTAAACTCGGAAAACAAATGTTAAAACTTTTGGGAAAATCGAAATTCCGTGTCAAAGAGTTGGAATTTATGCATAATGTAGATGACACTTTATTGAGCTTTTTTCCCAAAATTTGCGAATGGAAAAATGTGGAAATAGTTCGAATAATTGGAATTAGTTTGTATTCGGAAAATATGCATCCGGTCATTGCTCATGATTATCATAGAATCGGTGACGTCGTTTCTGGAAAACCAGTTTGTGAGTTGAGAATGTATTTTTTGGAATCAGCTCGTTGAGACGGTCAGAATGAGCATAAATACGACTAGGTTTGGTTGAATTTATAATTTTTTGTAGTTTGGAAAGTTTTGCGAAAAATTGAAAAATGGAAAGTACCGTAATTTTGGAAATTTTGTTTCATAAATCATGAAAATTGTATTTTCCTAGTAAGCAGATTTTTAGCTTCAAAATGAGTATAAACAAGACATATGCTGAAAGTTTTCACGATCTGGGGAAAAATCGATTATCGATTTTTGTGAAAATCTACCGTATCTTGAGTAGTTTTCGAGCTGTATCAAGAGTTAATATTGTTCAGGAATGAGCGTGTTTAGTGCTCCAAAATGAGCCTAGATCACTTTTCCTCAAATTCATTTTTATTCAAGGGACCATGCGCCTTTAAATCTGAAATTTCAAACTTTTGTAAAACATATCGTGTTTGAGTTCATTTTGAAGCTCTCAACTAGCTCAATTCTTATCTCTTTTTCGTTTTTTGAAATTTCAGAAATTTTTTGAAGTTTGGGGCGAATTTTAAAAAATTCAGGTTACACATTTTATTGTACACATGACCCACCGGTTGACGTATATGTTTTTTTCGGGATAATGAGTGGATATATGGATAGAAATGGAAGTGATAAACTTCATTGGGCCACTTATCGTGAGCCAGCCCATTTAGCAAGACAGGGAAAGGAACACGCGTAAGTGCGCTCCAAAGAGAAGATTCCAAAAAATCGATAATTTGCAGTGGGCACAGATTAGATCCAAATAGTGCGGATCGGTCTGATGAGCGTCGTTATGAAGATGGTAACGTCAGCTACGGGAGACAAACCCAATGTGGAATGTGGGTCAGCCGGTATGCTGGGGATCGCGAAAAAGAGTTGAAATTGATCCATGACGTGAGTTTCAAAGCTTAAAAATGTGATTCCTGAGTTTGGTAGATCAAAAGTAACACAACGAATATAAACATGACTGGGTTTTGATGCTAAATTTTTAGACCAATATTCATCAGAATGACTGTAACCTACTTTTTTTGTTCCAAATGCTATAAAAACTATATTTCTGAATTCAGCAAGTAAAGACAATCGAAATGAGTATAAACATGACCCACTTTTGAGAATTTTGAATTTCGCGCCAGTCAGAGTGCAGAGAAACGAGACACACTGTGTCGCTGACCCCGAAATTCAAATTTACCCGAAATAAGTATTGTTTAACAGCAAGCTGGTGCGACTTCGGCGCGATTCAATCTATTTTTTTCAAATGTTCGTCGCTTCGTTTCTCACTTTTTCTAATTAAAAGGGCCACGTAAATATATTTTTCAATCCACAGACGGACACCGGGACGGACAGACGCCTCTAGCGTTTTATTAATAAGGAAGATACTGATTTCGAAGGAAATTTCATATTGATTTCGAAAATTCGTGTTTCATAGTATCAAGATGAATATTGTTTCGAAAAATTTGAAAAAAATTATGAATGAAAAATTTTGGGAAAAATGTAAATGACCATAACTCAGTTCGTCTAGTCCCAAATTTTATAAAACTAAAATTTTTGAATTCGGCAAGTCAAAACCTTTGAAATGAGTATAATCATGACCCACTTTTGAGAATTTTGAATTTCGCGCCGGTCAGAGTGCAGAGAAACGAGACACACTGTGTCGCTGACCCCAAAATTCAAAACAATCCAATATACGCCGTGTTTATAGTCATTTTAATGGTCTTGACGCGAAAAATTGAAAAACTTGAGTTTAAAAAAAGTTTGGAGTAAAAATAAAAAAGTTATGGACATTTTTCAAAAAATTTACATACAGAATTTTTTGATTTTTAAAAAGTTTTTTTAAAGTTTCGACGTGTTTGGTACAAAAAATAAAAGTTATTGCAAAATTAAAAAAAAAGACTGAAATTGATTTTTAAAAGAGAAAATTTAGGAAAATTTGGTCATGTTTACATTCATTTTGAAGCTTAAAAATCAATTTTTTTGGAACTTTTCAGCGTGAAAAATGTGGAATCGGAAGTTTGTGTCCAAAACACGCGGACCCATTTGACTATTGGTACTATCAGAATTTGCCACGTCGTCTTGTACAGGAACCATTCTGGACTGGATTCAAATGTGTTTTTTGCACCGCTGAAAATCCACATTTTCCAGCTACCCCAGATGATTTGCAAATTTTGATGCGAAAAATACAAATCGATGAAAATCGGAAAAGAAAAAATTCGATGGAATATCAAGAATTGAATCCAATGGAATATTCGTGGGGATTCGGAAGACCAAATCAGACGACGTCGGAGATTTTTGAAGTTTCTGAAGACGTGGTTGAGAAACGCGAATCTCGTTGGGGTACTTGGTTCAAAATCATTTTTCTACCAATTTTGATTTCTTTCTTTTTCTATGCAATTTTTTACTGAATAAATGATTTTTTGATTTGTATTACTGTAACTCTATTTATTTTGTTCAAGTTTTGACAATCTGAAATTGTTCTAAATTCAAGGTTGGCACTGATAATGTGCCAAGGCACGAAAAATGCGCCAAGGCACAGTTAACGAATCAAGGTACAAAAGACGGACCAAACATTTGTGACAGGACAATAAGATCGCCTGTCATATTCTTCTATTAGGTTAATTAATTATTCCGGACGCGGACAGATTGTTTACTCCTATTGCCCTTTCCACCCTTCTATTGTTTGTCCCGATTGACATCTCGTCGTTATAACAATCCTATTGACATCTCGTCGTTATAACAACAGTGGAAGGTGAACCACTATTCGTTTACACATTCTTCTCGTTTTTCGATTGTTCCAGAATAATTGTCGTGAGAAATTACGAAAATTGTGATTTTCTGATTCCGAGCTCGGGTTTTGTAGGGGCAGCTGTAATTGTTAAGTTTTTTAATTCTAGCACTTTTTGATTTTTTAAAAGTTTTTACTAAATTTACGCCAACGCTCGGAAAACGCCCTCAAGACACCGGAAATGCGTCAAGGCACTCAAATGCGTCAAGGCAAGGGAAACGCGTCAAGGCACCCAAAATGCGTCAAGGCACGTGAAATACGTCAAGGCACGAAAAATGCGTCAAGGAACAAAAAAAATTTCAAAGCACAAAAAATGTGTCAAGTCACCGATAATGCGTCAATGCACGAAAAAAACGTCCTGGAACAGAAAACTAGTGAATGCACGGAACATGCGTCAAAGCACAAAAAATGCGCATTGTCATTAAAAGTAAGCCAAGACACCGAAAATGCGTCAAGGCACGTGAAATACGTCAAGGCACGGGAAAGGCGTCAAGAAATGCCTCGAACTAAAATCAAGGTTTACTCGTAAAACGTGACAATTCAAAATTTGAGAAAAAGTGACAAATATTATTTTCTGGGGGCGAGGGAAAATAAATTATATTGTATGAAATTTCTTTTTTTTTGAAAAAAAAGTGATGTGATTTTTTTAACAAACTAAACTTGAGTTTTTCGTTTTCTCGTGAATTTTTTTTGAAAAATTAACAATTTGATAAAAATTTCAAAAATTTACAAATTCGAATTTCAAAAACTCAAAACTTTTAAAAATTCAAAACATTCCAAACATTCCAAACATTCCAAACATTCCAAATATTCAAAAAGTGTAAAATTGAAAAGTTCTGAGAAAATTTTTAAAATTGAAATTTCGCAATTTTTTCCCGTGCTCTGACACAATTTTGCTGCCTTGACGCTTCTCTCGTGCTTTGGCGCTTTTCCCGTTCTCTGACACATTTCTAGTCCTTCAGCGCATTTTCAGTGCCTCTACGCGTTTCCCTTGCATTGGCGTGTTTTTAGTGCTTTGGCACTTTCCCATGCTTTGGCGCTTTTCCAATTTCTTGACGCTTTTCCCGTGCCTTGACGCATTTTCGGTGCATCCAATGGTTTTCTGTTCCAGGACGTTTTTTTTCATGCATTGACGCATTCTCGGTGACTTGACTCATTTTTGGTGCCTTGACGGCTTTCCCGTGCCTTGACGCATTTTCCGTATCTCAAAATATTCATTTCTTAGTATGAATACCACCGAACTAACCATATTCGACGGAGAACAAGAAGAGGAGGCTATATACTCTGGACCAGTTATAGTTTTAATTCGGGATACTGTATTTTGGATCGTTGAACATCTGAATGGCTCATTTGAGCACTCTGTGATTATTATAAACCTATTGCATTTGATTATACTTCTCCAAAAAGATCTGCGATCAATATCGATTTTCATTCTGATGATTGGAATTTGTGTCTCTGATATTTTGGGATTTTCGGTTCTATTCTATAATTTGGGTTTGGAGAGAAATAATTATCAAAAGTTGAAAAATAATTTACGATTAAATTATCCGGAATACATGGCTTTATGTTTACCAGGATATTATTACAGTATCGATTTAATTGGGACAATTAAAGTGTTGATTTTAAATTGCACAAGACCAATTTCCATTTGGTTGGCTATTTTAATGGCATTTATTCGAACTTTATCGATTATTTTTCCAATGAGCAAGTTTGTGGAAAAATTGGGAAATGCGAAATTTGCGATTCTTTCGATTTTTGTTGTTTGTAGTTTTTGGATGATTTATTACTCGTGGGATTTGGTTTTTATTGAAAAATGGTGGTTTCCCGATCATATACAGTATACGTGAGTTGCATTTTTTGAAGTTCAAAAAATTAAGAAAACCTGGGAAACATGTGCCGTGACACATGTTCCGTGCCTTGACGCATTCCCCGTGCCGTGTCGCATGTTCCGTGTCTCGACGCCGTTTCTTTGCCTTGACGCATTTTAGGTGCCTTGACGATCTTTCCGTGTCCTGACGCATTTTGGGTGCATTGTTTCTCGGTGTCTTGGCCCAATTCCGGTGTTCTAGGGCTTTTCCCTTGCTTTAACGTATTTCACATGCCTCAACGTATTTCGCGTGCCTTGACATATTTCACGTGCCTTGGCACATTTCGGGTGACTTGACGCATTTCCGATGTGTCTCGGGTCAGTGCGTTGACGTGAATTTATTAAAAACTTTCAAAAAATTCGAAAAGTGCTGGAATCAAAAAATTTAACAATTACAGCTGCCCCTACAAAACCCGAGCTCGGAATCAGAAAATCACAATTTTCGTAATTTCTCACGACAATTATTCTGGAACAATCGAAAAACGAGAAGAATGGGAATATTTAGTTCGTCTTATTCCAGCGTTATTTTATCCATTTCTCACTTTATCATTGCTCATTGAGCTCATAAAAATACGAGAAAGACGGAAAATTCAAAAAATGGATGGGGATCAAAAATTTGACAGTACCACTATTTTAATTTTATTTATGACTATCAGTTTTATGCTATCAGAAGGATTGGAAGGAATTTCTAGTTTGGATATTTCCCACTGGTCTGATTTATATTTTGATTTTGTGTAAGTTTTTGGAGTTTTCGAATTCCAGAATTTCCGAGTTTTCATAATTTGGAATTTCTGAATTTCTGAATTTTTGAATTTTTGAATTTTTGAATTTTCGAATTTTTGAATTTTTGAATTTTTGAATTTTTGAATTTTTGAATTTTTGAATTTTCGAATTTTTGAATTTTTGAATTTTTGAATTTTTGAATTTTCGAATTTTTGAATTTTTGAATTTCTGAATTTTTCAATTTCCGGTCCCGCGTGGAAATTTTCACGACTCTCCGCTCTTTCAATGCTCTCTCCCATGCTTTTGTCTGTTTTTTCATGTCGTCTCAATATCGAAAAAATGTGAAAAAAATCTTTGGATTTTGGATCCCTTGGATTCCGAAAAATAGGATTTTGAAGTGTCGAAAATTGAGAGAGCGGAAAAATCAGGTGAATTGTTTTTTTTCCCAGTTGAAATCAATTTTTTTTTTGTTTCAGAAAACCATAAAAGTGGATCCGACAGTGTCTGGTAGTTTCAATTCTATGAAATCTCACAGTTTTTGATTTTTTTTCGAATTTTTGAATCTTAAATAAAAATTCTTTGTCTTTTGACGCATTTTTGGTGCCATCCGAAAATGCGCCAGGGCACCGGAGATGTGCCAAGGCTCTAAAAAAGCGCCAAGGGACTAAACATATGAGTTGGTGCATGCTTCGACGCATCTTTGATGGCTTGACGCATGTTCAGTGCATTATCGAATTGTTCGTGTCTTTGCGCGTTTACCGTTCGTTGACGCATTTCCCGTGTGTTGGTACTTTTTTGTGCTATTATGCACTTACCCTGCCTTGTTTCATTTTTTATGTTTTTTTTATGCCTTGGCGCATTTTCAGTTCCTTGACACATTTTCAGTTCCTTGACGCATTTTTCGTGCCTCGACGCGTTTCTTGGGCCATGACGCATTTTTAGTTGCATGTTCGAGATCTTTAATTTCAAATGTTATTCTAATTCTAAGCAGGTGAATTTTTGTTTGCAAAATGAGAAACAAACATTTTGCAATATGAATTTTCATTCTTAACAAAGAAACTTTCATGTATGGCGTGCATTCCAATTTGTATGCCGTTTTTGTTATCGTTTTTGGATTTTTAGCCTTTTTATTTTGGATGTTTGATAATGCCAGTTATAGTCCTACCGATATATGTTAATGTGTTTAGATCGAATAGAGAAAGGGACCGAGAGGTGATTTCAACAAAATCTGATTTTTTTTCAAATATTCGGAATTTTCAGTCAGCGGTATACCTGATAAATTATCATTTCTATCGATTGGTTTTTGTGTTTTTTTTGCTACGCTCATTTGTGATTGCGTAGCTTTTGTCTTACTGAAATTATACTATCCCTCTAAGTCAGCAATTCAAAAATTCGAAAATATCTGAATTTCCTTCATTTTCAACCTGTTTGTTTCAGCCACGATTCTAAAGTCATTCGAACTGTCTCAATTTTGAAATTAATTTATTTTATAATAATTCTAATTCTGTTCAATCTGACTCACACTCATCAAACTCTTTTGTCCCTTTTGGCCGTTCAAAGATTCCTTCTGTACTTTTTTCGAGATCAAGATTCACGTATTAATTTTGAAATGAAAAGTACAACCAAACTGATATATGGTATACATTTATTATGTTTTCTTCCAATTGTCTTACTTTTCGTTATTGGTCAAACGTATGGGCATGATGGAAGTCGGGAGAGGAACCTTTTTAACGTAATATTGAATAAATTTCATTAAAAACCCTTCTAATTCAGATGATGTCATATATTGCAAACTTCCTGATGGTTTTCTCCGCCATTCTATACATTCCCATCTACATTAGCATTTTTGGTATCCGCCATTTACCCAGCGTTGAAAAACACAAGCCACAAAATTATATCATTTATCGAACAATTCTCCTATACGCTTTCAAGACTGTAAGATTGCAAACTATGTAGCTCGATTTTCCATTTTTGTTTAGATACAAATTGTTTCCCTCCTATTTTTCCATCAAGCTCATTTAATGAATATTACGGTTTTCAGATTAAACAATTTTCAGAGAGAATCATGGTTTTTTTTCCAGAATGGTTCAAGTTTGAATTTCCACTTGGACTTTATATCGACCCCATTATTAATTGAAATACCGTATCTTTTCTGTAATCGACGGAATGTGATAGCAATGAAAAAACGATTATCCTTAAAGTATTTATGGTCTAAAATAAGGAATCGAAACAATCAAGTAGGAGGAATTAATACTCAAACTGCAATTTCTTATATTCAGTCGACTCATGTTTAACGACTTTTGTTTCGAATAAAAGATAAATGGTTACCAAGTAAACAAAAAACAAAGATAAGATATGTGAAATTGAGTTTTTCGGCTTCTCTTCATGAGCCAATCTTTTCAAATTGAACTTATCTGAACCGTTTTGACCTGCTGATTCTGATTATATAGTTTTTATTAATCTATTTTTTAAATGAACAAAGTTATGACTCGTTTTACTGTGAACAAAGTTATGACTCGCTACCTGATTAGACGCCGACAACTAGAGTGTCTGTTTTCTCTGCGTCTCTCGAGCAATCGAAGCAATCGGGTAAGAGGAATTGATAATAATCAAAATGCAATCTTTCTTATATATAAAACGCTAGACGTGTCTGTTGGTCCTAGTGTCCGGCTGTCCGGTTTTGGGTTTCAAATAAGAACTAGGCCGCCGCCAAAACTGAACCCGCGGCCCTTCGGACAACGGCTGCGCATGCACCCAGTTGTGCCATGAAGGCCACACCAGGAGAGAGAAGGGAGGGCGTACATGTTCTACCCTTTGAGAAAGAGAAAGCGAAAAGTGAGGGGTGGAGCGAAAAACCAGAAAAAAATATTGAATTGCGCCGAAGGCGCAGCAGCCAGCAGGCTGGTTTCTTATATTCAATCAACTCAAGTTTAACGATTATTTTTCAAATAAAAGGATAAATGGTTTTTGAGAGAGCAAAAACTAAAGAGAAAACATATGAAACTGGGTTGTTAGGCTTTTCTTCATAAACAAACATAGTCAAATTTGGACTCATTCAAACCGTCTTGACTTGCTGATTCTTTTCATGTAATTTATATTAATCTATCTTCAAAATTAGCAAAATTAGAAGCCTTCTTGCGCGCGCTACTTGCGGAGACGCCGACAGCTAGAGTGTATGTTTTTTCTGCGTCTTTCATTTGTTCCCTGAAAACCTTCACCGCCGTGTTCATACTTATTCAAACCGTCTGGATCAGTTGAATGTGGTCATCTAACTTTTTTCGATCTACCTTGAATTTTTAAAAAGTTAAAGGCAGTTTTGCGAGCCTGGAGACTTATCAGCGCATTTTACGAACTTTTGTTCTTTCAACGCATTATTGGTGCATTAACATTTTTTGAGCTTTGATTCTATTTTTCAAGATTCGAAAATCAGACTAATTCGAAATATTTGATTTCCAGTTAACACCTGTTTTTAACAAGCAGGTGTGTAGCAAAGGAAAACAAGAAATTTCAAATATTTCAAATATGAACATTCTCAGACAAACATTGCCACAAAAATGTCTGAAATTCTGATAGCAGTTTTAACTATCGTTACTATTTTATACCTTGTTTTTGGAATTTTAGCTATCATTTTCTTTTTTGGGTGTTTGATAATTCCAGTGATTGTTCTACCGGTATATGTTAGTGTGTTCAGATTGAATAGAGAACGGGATCGAGAGGTAACTTTGAGCTTGTGTATCTTGGTTACTGTAAGAGATACCAAAAAGTTGTGAACTGATAAAAAGTTGGCCACATTATGATAAATAATTTATCATTAGACCACGTTTTGATATCTTTTACAGTAACCGAGATCTATTGATTTGCAGAGTGCTGTATACCCAATAAATCTTCATTTCTATCGACTGGTTTTTATGTTTTATGGTGCGTTTATTTTTGATCTCGCTTTCATAGTCCTATTCAACATTTATTATTACTCTAGGTCTGTGAGATTTCCGATGTCGATTGATTTCAAATTTTGCAGACATGATCCTAACATGATTCAAACTTTATCAATTTTGAAATCACCTCACTATATAGTCGCTCTGGTTGGGATCAATTTGGCCTACGCCCATCAAACACTTTTGTCCCTTTTGGCTGTTCAGAGATTCCTTTTGTACTTTTTTCCCGGCTTAGAGCCACATATCAGTTTTGGAATGAAGAATACCACAAAATTGATATATGCAATCCATTTTTTGTGTTTTCTTCCGGTTATCATATTTATCATTATCACACTGGTTCAGTTTACGATCGGTGAAGCGTATCCAGTTAATCCAGAAATGGAAGGATATTTAAATAATGTAAGTAGTGTAGCAACAGGTAGTGTAGTAACGTAGTACGGTGCGGTACAGTAGCGTAGTAGCGTAGTAGCGTAGTAGCGTAGTAGCGTAGTAACGTAGCGCCTTCGGCGCGATTTGACCTATTTATTTTACTTTCAGATAACGGGATTTATTACAAACGCTCTAATGGGTTTCTCCGCTATTTTATACATCCCAATCTACATTAGTATTTTTCGCCTTCGCCATTTACCGTCTGTTGAAAAAAATAAACCACAAAATTATATTATTCTTCAGACCATTCTTCTATATGTGTTCAAGATTGTAAGACTTTAAACTGTTTTGCTCGATTTTTCATTTTTTTTTCAGATGGAAATTCTTCTTTATCTGTTTCTGCATCACGCTCGAGTTATAGACATAATGGTTTTTCCATAAAAAATGTTTTATTAAAAACTCACGGTTTTTTTCAGCATGGTTCATTTTATCATTTTCAACTGGACATTTACTCAACCCCATTATTAGTTCAAATACCGTATCTTTTTTGTAATCGACGGAATGTGGAGGAAATGAGAAAACGATTATCACTAAAATGGTTTTGGTCTAAAGTATGGAATCGAAAAAATAGTCGAGTTGGGGGAATCGATAATAGTCAAACTGTGATTTCCTATATTCAATCGACTCACGGTTAACGATTTTTTATTTGAATAAAAGATGAATGGTTATTAAGAGAGCAAGAAAAAAGAATAGACGCATGAAATTGGGTTTTTTTGGCTTCTTTTCATGAGCAAATCTAGTCAAATTTAGACTCATTCAAACTGTCTTGGCATCCTGAATCTGGTCATATAATTTGTATTCCTCTATCTTAAAAATGAACAAAGTTATGACGAGTTTCACGCGCGCTACTTTAGAAGACGCCGACAGCTGGAGTGTTTGTTTTCTCTGCGTCTCACAAGTTTTTTTTTCTTCAATTATTTCCAACTGTCAGTCTACAATCAACCTTACCATTAGCGTTTTTCTGTGCTTGTCACGAACTTTTTTTTCTTTACGCGTTTTCCGTGCATTGGCGCATTTGTTCATTCTTTGACGTATTTTTGGTGCTTTGACGCACATTCCGTGCCTTGACGCGTTTTCCGTGCCTGGACGCTACCATTTGTACTTTAACGGATTTTCCGTGCCTTGGCGCATTTTTGTGCCTTGACGCGTTTCACGTACCCAAAAAATGTGGTGGCCTAGAAAACCACATTTGCAAAAGTTAGGCCCCCATGTCAAAATGGGCTAAAAACACACCAGAGTCATGTTAGGACATTTTTAGGTCATTTTGAAGTAGTGGCCTAGAAAACCAAATTTGCAAAAGTTAGGCCACCATGTCAAAATGTAGCACACTGACAGTTTCAAACAGGCACAACAAAAAACAGACAGTTTCTAGGTCACCGGCCTTGTAATCCTCTCGGACATTAAAGTCGATTAAAAATCGACAAAAGTCGATTTTTTTCACTTTCATCGATTTTCACTTTCATCGACTTTTGAAAAGTCGTTTTTTGTCGACTATTTGAATTTCGATTTTTGATCGAGTCGACGAAATCGACACCGATTTTCACGATTTTCGTCGATTTTTGTCGATTGTCAACAATCGACACAACACACTGATCAAGGCGCTGAAAACGCAGCATCGCACCGAAAATGCGTCAAGCTACGGAAATAGCGTCAAGGCACGGAAAAGGTGGCGAAGCACCTAAAATGCGACAAGTCATGGAAATCGCGTCTAATTACCGAAAATGTGTCAAAGCATGGAATATGAGTTAATGCACCGAAAACTAGTCAAAGCACGGAAAACGCGCCAAAGCAAGACAATCGTGTTTAGCCCCGGAAAAAGTGGCAAAGCACCGAAAATGCGTCAATGCACGGAATATGAGTCAAATCACTGAAAACGAAAGGCTACGTTCTAAACTTTATACCCAAAACTAATCAAATGTGCAGGTGAATTTCAAAACCCCAAAAACTATAAAAGGCAGGCGACCAGTAACGTAATCGCTCTTTCACATTTGAAATGTCTGACACTGATAGTGCGTTTAAAACTTTAAAATGGGAATCTTGGAAAATGATTCACCAGTTGGCTTCGGCGATTCTTATTTGGACATTAATAGCAGCAATGGTTTTGCCAATTATAGTCACACCAATTTATATAAGTGTATTCCGGTCAAATCGAGAACGGGATCGAACGGTAATTTGAATTTTTCAATTTTTTGGAATTTTCAGTTATTTTCAGACACCTGTGTATCCCATCACTTATTATTTCTACAAAATGGTTTACGCCTTTTATTTGACAATAATTTTCCTATTCCTATTGTATCGTTATGAGTTTCTGTAAGGTTTTAGGCCCACAGTAATTAAAGACAAATTTTAGTTTCAGACCTACCGAATTTTACAGTAAATGCCTAGCTGCTGTTCCCGTCTTATTTGCTGTACATTTGGTGCATGTCCACCATATTCTTATATCCTGTTTAGCAATTCAGAGATTCCTTCTGTACTTTTTTCAAAATTCGGAGAAATTCGTTAGTTTTGGACTCAAAACTACCACTAAAATCATATATTTGATTCATTTTGTATGCTTCATTCCGTTTCCTGCAGCTTTTCTCATTAATAAGTTCATTTTGAATGATATTTATGATATGAGAGAGTTTTCAATGCTTTTATCAATGGTGAGAATTGAAAAAGAGCCAGTAGGTGATAAAAACTGCTTTTTCAGACATATATAAAATGCCTGAACTGGATTATTATATCGTCTGCATTATTATACATTCCAATACACATTAGTATATATCGTCTTCGTCATTTACAATCTATTGAAAAACAAAAACCCCATAAATACATTCTTTATCAAACAATTATCCTGTTTTGTTTCAAAATTGTAAGTTCTGGCTAAAAAAATAGTCAATAATAGAGCTTTGAGCTTGGTGACCTAGAAAACCAAAACGTTTCCAAGTGACGCGAATTGAAGTCATTTGTATCATGATTATTTTCAGGTTGAGTCGTTATCTCTTTCAAGAGTAATACTGGACAATCGGGAAGATCAGTTATTTGCACCAACTGTAGCAGATATTTTTGTCACCCCATCACTGGTTCAAGTACCGTATCTTTTTTGTAATCGACGAAATGTTCAGGCAATGAGAAAACGATTATCACTGAAATATGTATGGTCTAAAATAAGGAATCGAAATAATCGAGTGGGAGGAATTAATAATAGTAATAATCAAGATACAATTTCATATATTCAATCGAGGAATGTTTAAAAGCTTTTATTAGAAAAAAAAGAAAAAAATTAAGAGAAATAGGAGACGCAGAGAAGCTATATTCGCAGAAAATGATTATTTTGGAACGAAATAATAAAAAAAACCCCCCCACAATTTGACAAATTTAATACTATTCATGACAGTTTCCTTTATTCTTGCCGAAGGATAAATTATTATTTTATGGGCTTATAGCATATAACACTATTGTTCATCCTAATTGAAGTATGAGTTGGATGTAAGGGCCCAGTCTGTGTGTCCGCATGTCCCGATGTCCTTTTTCAGAATCTATGCTACTACTGCGAACTATATCGTTATAAATTTACGAACTCTTAATTCTCTATCTCACGCATTTGTGTGCTTTTTCATGTCCACACACTATCGGGAAACTGTTCAAATTATTCGAAGGTTTAACTTTATAAATTTCCAATTAATTTCCAATTTAAAAACAGGTACAAAACACCCGAAACAAATTAAATATTGTACTCTCGAATTGTGGGTTTTGTACCCCTAAATCACTTTGTACCACCTAGTATCCTCAAATCGTTGTACCCTCCGATATATGTGCTCAATAATTCAGATTTCGAAAAATGAAATCTTTTTTTCCAGATATTCGAACTGGGAAAAGTGATGGAAAGTGGTAACGATTGCGCCAGAGTATTGTCGAATTTTCGAAGTTTATAACCAACTTAACATTTTTTTAGAATTCGAATTTTTGTTTAAATAAAGTCTGAAAAGAATGAAGCTTTAAAAAAAGATTTTCACTAAATGTGTGTCAAAGGCACCACAAACGGGCCAAGGCACAACAAATGCGTCAATAGACAAATATTGAATTAAGGCTCGAAAAAGCGTCAAGGCACGGAAAAAGAGCCAAAGGCACCGAAACTGCGTCAAGGCACAAAAAAGACGCGGAAAAGAAGTCGTACATTAAAAATCAATCTAGTTTTATAATGTGAGTTAACGAAAAATTGAATTCTGCGATTTCGAAAAAAAACCTAGAAAATTGGAAATCTACATAGTCATGTTCATACTCATTCTAAACGTTTTCAATTGCTGATTCTGGTCATATTATTTTAATTAGTCTATCTTCAAAATGAACATAGATACAATATGAATTTTGAGCGCTCTGGTAAAGACAGTCCGAGTGTCTGTCTTCTCTGCGTCTCTTTTTCTCATATTTTATTAAAAACGAAAACTTCTAGGAATGAGTTGATTGAACAATAAAAATTTGATTATCACTATTATCAATTCCTCCAACTTGATTATTTCGATTCCATATTTTAGACCACAAATATTTGAATGATAATCGTTTTCTCATTTCCTCCACGTTCCGTCGATTACAAAATAGATACGGTATCTCAATCAATAATGGGGTTGATAGAAAGTCCAATTGAAATGACATAAATGAAGTGTCGAAATCGGTTTTTGCATCATTTTTTGAATCGGTTGTAAAGCTCACAACTCCTCGAGAGACAGCGATGGGCAAAAAAATTATAACGGTGATTTGTGTCTGAAAATAAAAACAGATATTGTTGGATTAAAAAAAGTGACACCTGAAAATCTCGGAGACGGCGCTCGTGTTGATTTACAAGGGGGTGGAGCGAAAACGGATACTGTAGATAACAAATTTATTTATGTGAATTCAGTGGGATTTTCTGAACAAAATTTTGACTTCTTGGTATAAGAATGATTTCTAGCATCTCTAGAATCTATTTTTCAGCAAAAAACTAAAACCTAACGCGAAAGTAGCTCGAACGAGCCGAAATTCTGAAATATTACGTTTTTGCCGCACTTTTTTGTAGATCAAAAAAAAAAGCAAAAGTTTTCAAATTTTCAGGTGTCACTTGGGTTCAAGCGATTTTTAAGAAATAGATCATGATCTAGTTCAAACCCGCGTTCATTTTAAAATTATTAAATTTCTTCTGGCCTACGAGTTTGCTGGGGCGCTTTTTCTGACCCCCTCGCTTGAACCCAAGTGAGGTGTCACTTTTTTTAATTCGACAATATTGACGGAGCTACAGTACCTAATCTTACCGTTTTGAGAAGGAACGCAAGGAATGTCTGATATAAAATATATTTTTGTGGCTTGTGCTCTTCAACAGATGGTAAATGACGAAGACGAAATATACTAATGTATATAGGAATGTATAAGAGAGTGGATAAAATAATTAGAAAATTAAAAATATATGACATTATCTGTAATCTATGGAGCATGCCGCGCCTCTGGCGCTTTAAACAGCTGGCTGGGGCGCCTTCGGCGCGATATAAGGGTTCAAAAATAAATATAGATTTGCATGACCCTGTGAGAAAAACAGCGACGAACCAGTAAAAAGTAGATTTTCGCGCCAAAGGCGCACCAGCTTGCTGGTTTTCATCATTATAGAAATGATGAAAACAAGAGTGATGGTTTTCTAGAAACTTACATTAAGAAAATTAGTCGTCACTGATGGACCGTACAAATCTGCTCTACCGAACCAAAACGCGATTCTTGTGAGAATGGAAAATAAGAGGAATGGAAGCAGACACAATGAATGTATTCCATAAATCAATCTTGTTGTATTCTTCATTCCAAAATTGATACGAGACTCTAGATCGGGGAAAAAATATAAAAGGAATCTTTGAAGGGCCAAAAGGGACAAAAGAGCTTGATGGGTATAGGCCAAGTTGAACATTAATAGAATAGCCAGCAAGAAAATTGCATAGGAAATTGAGAAGTTTTCCATGGTATATGGTTTAAAACTTAAAAACTGAACGGATTGAAACGTCTTAAACATAACTTTCTTGAATTTTCGAGCGCCCTTCTGTTAAAGGGATCCCTACTATTTTTCCAATCTCTTTTCAGAGAGCCCTTGTATTAGAGGTGCCTGTTTAGTACAGGTTTCACAGTATACAAAATACTTAGTTTAGTGCATTTTTGACCATTTTTAGTAGTCTGCAGCTCGGCTGTCAAGTTTCCGATCATTTTGAAAATTTTGAATTCACAGAATTTTTTGAAAATTTTAAGTGTTTCGTTTCCAGTACAAAAACACGCCAAAAAGGGTGTCTTTGAGAAATCGGCGAATATCTGAAAAACTAGGAATTTTCGAAAAATTCTGACAATGCAAAACTTCAAATCTAGATCTGTTTTAAAACCTCCAAAATTTTCAAATGATCGGAAACTTGAAGATGGCCAAAAAGGCCGAAAATTGACTGAAAAGTATAATTTTGTATATCCAAAAGCACTGACTCACCTAGCTGGATAATGTCTGAGCACTGCTTGAAAAACTACAAATTCCAAAATAAAAACACTGTAATACACATAAATCAACCGATAAAAATGTAGAGTTATTGGGTACACAGCAGTCTAAAATTAAAATAATTTTTGAAAAATTCCAAAAAAAAAACCATATTACCTCCCTTTCCCGCTCTCTATTTGACCTGAACACGCTAATATATAGCGGTAGAACTAGAACAGGCAATACTAAAAAGCCAATATAGAGTAAGAAGAAAGAATAGAAAAAAACTCGCGTCGGATTGAACTGATAGGAATATTCATCAATCATTTTTTGTAATGTTAAGCTTTTTTGGCTGGGAAATATTTATATAAGAAATGCTAGATTCGCCTGGTTAGCGTTAGATACTCTAGGATTCACCTGTCGGGCTTTTCACCTGTAAGGTACATAAACATCTAGATAAGGATTTTTGGTTTCAGCTTTAGGTACAGGACCTTGACGCATTTTTTGGTGCCTTGACAGTTTTCTTCATACATGTCCCGGGCCGGGCCGGGCCGGTGGAGGAATTTTCTCTGGCCCGGCTGGCCCGGGTTTTTGAGGCAACAATTTTTAAGAGTCATTTTTTGTGAGAAACCTAGATTTCTGGGAGCAATAAAAAAGTTTATCAAAAATTAACTCAAAATTTTTCACATTTTCGGAACCCGGGCCGGGAAAATTTTTTTTCAGCCCGGCCCGGCCAAGATTTAGCAATTATGGTTTTCTTGATTTCGAATCTACCAACGACTGATCTGGCAAAGATTCTCTTCATCGGAAAAACGTGCCAAATTTATATTCATTCGAACCGTCTTGACAACTTGTTGATTTTAGTCATATGATTTTTATTTTTCCAAAAAATATTGTCATGTTTATATTCATTCGAACCGTCTTGATTTGCTAATTCTGGTTGTATAATTTTTATTAATCTATCTTAAAGATGAACAAAGTTATGACCCGTTTTGCGCGCGCTCCTTGAGGAGACACCGACAGTCTGCTTTCTCTGCGTCTCTCTTTTTCCACATATCGGTTGAGAAGAGACGCAGACAGTAAGAGTGTCTGAATTCTCTGCATCTCTCTTTTATTTGAAACGAATATATCTAAGAATTGGTAGACTGAATATAGGAAATTGCAACTTGATTATTACTATTATCAATTCCTCCAATCAGACTGTTTCGACTAATTCTAGACCATAAATAATTTAATGATAATCGTTTTCTTATTGCCTGAACATTTCGTTGATTACAAAAAGATACGGTATTTGAACTAATAAAGGGGTTACAATAATATCTGCTAGAGATGTTATCAATAACAAGTTGGCATCAAATGCTTGTCCATTAGCAATGCCAAGCTCTATCAGTGATGAAATTGATACCGCCTCCATATGTAAACAATAAAAACAATTATTCGTTATTTTTTGTCTGATGCATCAGAGACGCAGAGAAGACAGACGATCTAACTGCGTGTCTTTGTCAATAATCAGAAAATCTTACAATTTCGACACAAAGCAGGATGATTGTTTGATAAAACATGTATTTGTGTGGTTTCTGTGTATCAATAGATGGTAAATGACGAATACGATGGCATATAATTCGGAGGGCACCACAATTCGGTGGGTACAAAGGTGTACAAAACAATTTAAGGGTGCAAAATCTCCAATTCGGGGGTACAAAATACTGAGAAAAAGGCTTAGTTTGTACCCCCGAATTGTTGGTTTTGTATCCCTAAATCACGTTGTACCCCCTTGTACCCCCGAATTATTGTACCCTCCGAATTATTTGCCGAATACGATATATACTAATGAGTATTGGAATGTATAATAATGCAGATGATATAACAATGTAGTTCAAACAAGTATTATATTTCTGAAAAATGCATAATTTGATACTTATGTGGTGTTAATCGGTAATAGAAGAAGTTCCATCGAGTTACAGTTCTATAACCGCGCAACTCCCTTTTTACTGTGAAAAATTGATAGAATGAGGGTATGCTGGGATCAACCCCGGAAATAAACCAAGGAATGAATAAAACTGCAGGAAATAAAAGAAAACATGAAAAATGAATGAAAAATATGATTTTAGTGGTAGTTTTGATTCCAAAACTGACATATTTCTCCGAATTTGGCAAAAAGTATAACAAGAATTTTTGAATTGCTTAAGAAGCTAGCATAATATGATGAACATGTACCAAATTCACCGCGACTAAACCAAATATTCCAGAAATGTAGACGCTGAAAATTTCAAAATTTTGAAAATAAAAATATATCAAATAATTCTTACACAACTGGAACAAAACTGCCCAGGAAGTGAGTGAACATGAGAGTCATTGACAAATAGGAGGCGTAAATCATTCTGTAGAAATAATAGGTGATGGGATAAATAGGTGTCTGAAAAATACTGAAAATTCATTCAAACAATTTTAAAATAATTGAATTACCGCCTGATCCCGTTCTCGGTTTGACCTGAACACATTGATATAAATTGGTGTAACTATGATTGGCAAAAACAGCGAAGCAGGTAAAATGATAACAAAAGTCAATAAAAGTAAATTATAAATTAGTACCCGCAAATTTTATACCCGCAAAAAAAAATTAGTGTCGGTATGATAGATGGCTCGATATCGGACATTTTCTTACAAGTTTTGATATGAAAGATCAATATATAAGGAGTACGTTAACATCGCATGCATGTTGTAGTCTTCCGGGGGGAAGTTTTGAAATTCACCTGCACGTTTGAGTAGTTCTGCTATAAAGTTCAGGCTATCACAGTTTACGTTATCTCTTTTCTTTTTCTGGGACTTTGTGTAGCTATGATGAGAAATTCGACATTTTCCAGTTTAACAAGTTAAGAAGGTTTGGATCATACTTGCAAAATTACTGACCGTCCCGCTGTTTGTACATAACCTTCTTTAAAATTTTTTTTTGAAAATTTGAAAATTTTTTCAAAAATTTAGTCAAACATTTTTTTACTACTTTCAACTTTTATAATTTTAAAAAGTATGTAACTTTTTTTTTAATTCAAAAAAAAATTCCCAATTTTTTCAGTGGAATTTTTTTACTGAGAAAGGGCGGGCCAGCGGGCCGGGCCGGGAAAATTCCTCCAATTCGATTATTTTGATTCCTTACTTTAGACCATAAATACTTCAGTGATAATCGATTTCTCGTTGCCTGAACATTTCGTCGATTACAAAAAAGATACAGTATTTGAAAGGCCGACTGCATTTTTTAGTTTTGAGAATCACCTGCGCATTTGATTAGTTTTTGGCCAACTATCTCAACTTGCTTTATTCCCATATGAAGAAAATCCACAAATAGATACAACCGAAAATTATTGAGATGAGCAGGTGTATTCAGAGCTTCCAGCAAGGTGCTACTAGAGCGGTTTAAACTATCTTTACGTTTCGAATAAGAAAAAAAATGCTTAACATCGTGTTTCCTACTATACCGGAAGTTTTGGAACTGATTTATCAATTGATTCGATTGATTGTTCTTGCCATTGCCATGTTATCACTATTTTTTCCAATCATAGTCACACCAATTTATATCAGTGTGTTCAGGTCGAATCGACAACGTGATCAGGCGGTAATTCGAATTTTAAATAATTTTCAAGAATTTTTAAATCGATTTTCAGTATTTTTCAGACACCTGTGTATCCCATCACTCATTACTTTTACAAAATGGTTTACGCCTTTTATTTGGCAATCATCCTCATCATAATTATCCTCCTGAATCAACATTTACTTTATATTAATTTTCAGAATTTGACCGTTTTTAATTTCCCCAAATTTTCAAATTTTTCAGCATTTTCCTTGTTGCTGCTCCTCTTTTACTTGCTGTGCATTTGGTGCATGTTCATCATATTTTTTTGTCTCTTTTAGCAATTCAAAGATTCATTTTATACTTTTTCCCAAATTTGGAGAAATTCGTTAGTTTTGGATTCAAAACTACCACAAAATTTATCTATTTTATTCATTTTTCATGTTTCATTCCGTTTCCTGCAAGTTTCATCGTTAATATATTTGTTGGGGTTATCCACGGCAGCACGTTTGACATAGCAACCGTATTACAGCAATTAGAAATAGTGAGTAAAGACGCAGAGAAGGCAGGCACTCTAATTGGCTGCGTCTCGCAGCTAGAATAAAAATTCGAAAAACATAAATAAACCTGATTTTAAGTACCTACTACAATCGTTACACTTTCTAAATTTTTAATTTCAAAGTGTTTCAGACATATCATACTTCCTTGAACTGCATTGTCATATCATCTGCACTATTATACATTCCAATACTCATCAGCATCTTTCGTCTTCGTCATTTACCATCCATCGAAAAACACAAACCACACAAATACATTCTCTACCAAACAATCATCCTGGTTTTCTACAAAATTGTAAGATATTTTTTTATTTTTGGCAAGGAGACGCAGATAGTTAGACCATCTGTCTTCTCTGCGTCTCCATGGGAGCGACCTACCGTAAACACTCAAATAGAACGCCACCCGACATGTCAAATTTGAGCCCATGTATCTCATTTTCTGTGAAAAATATCAAAACGTTGTCAACTGATAAAATGTTGCTGTTATCGTGATAATCATTATATTAGTTGACAACTTTTTGATATCTTTCGAAAAGAGCGAGATATATAGGCTCAAAGTGGACGGCGTTCTATTAGAGTGTTTTATGTTATCTCTATTTTCAGGTGGAAGCGGTAACCGTTTCAATATTAAAAACGGATAATAATTTACTTGTATCATCTGTAACGGATATTTTTGTAACGCAATTGTTAGTTCAAATACCGTATCTTTTTTGTAATCGGAGGAATGTGATGGCAATGAGGAAACGATTATCACTGAAGTATTTATGGTCTAAAATAAGACATCGAAATAATCAAATTGCAATTTCTCATATTCAATCTACTAATTTTTAAATATCAGACATGAAGGATGAAAAATTCCGAAAGGATAACCATGTACGCAAGACTAAAATTCCAAATCAAACAGTCATGTTTATACTCATTTTAACCGTCGATTTTTGATGGTTCAGGTGAGCTAGAAATTATAATCCTAGCTGCGAATTGAACGAAGATACACGCTGTCTTGCGCACGCTCTCAATCAAGTTGCAATTGCCTATATTCAATCGACTAATGTTTAGATAGTTTTGTTTCAAATAAAAGAGAATTAACTATAATTGGCACATGGGATTCAGCAGGTGAAACGTTTTTCTATCACAACAACAATCAATGCGTCACTGATCGGAAAATGCGTCAAGACACCTCAAGTAGCGTGAGAAAAACGGTCCATAACTTTGCTCATTTTTGAGATATATTGATAACAATTTCATGAAGAAAATGAGCAAGTTAAGACAGTTAATATACAACTTTTCTCAATCAAATTCTTGTCGACTGTATGCTAGAGATCCCAACTTGATTCTCTGGAGTAGTTCGGCTGCCAAACATCCGTTTCCTCAGCGCATTCACATTCCGTCGATTACAAAACAGATACGGTAGTTGAATCAGAAATGGTGTTAGCATAATGTCTGTTATAGTTGAAATGAACGCTGTAGACTGAAAAATTAATCTTTGTTTTTGCTTTTTATTAGTTACTTACATTTAATTGTATACTACTAATTGGAATAGAAGCCAACATAATCAGCTGAACCTAAATAGAAAACTTTTTTTTAAAATTTATTCACAATCTTACGGTTTTTAGTAGAATCGCAAGGAGAGTCTGATATAATATATAATTTTGTGGTTTGTGTTTTTCGATAGATGATAAATGACGAAAACGAAAAATGCTGATGTAAATGGGAATGTATAGAAAACTAGATAATATGAAGATGAGGTTGAAGAAAATTGATGATATCTGAAATTTTTTAGTATCTAATAAGAAAAAGTAGCTTTCAAAATATTAGCTCACATTCATAATAATTTCGCGTTTTGATTGATTAACAACTTCGTTAGATGTACTCAATAGACTGGTAAGCCCCATTGAAAGAATCGGAAGGAAGCATATAATATGGATTAGGTAGATCATAATCCTTGTTTTTCCCATTCCAAAATTGATACGTGGTTCTAGAAATGGAAAAAAGTAAAAAAGGAACCTTTGAAAAGCCAAAAGAGCTAAAAGTAATCGATGCGTTTGAACAAAATTAATAATAAAAAGAATAGATAAATTGCTAAAAATAGCAGCGATTAAAGAAATGGGCTGGATTATTTCAGGTGAGCTGAAAAACAAAATTTATCTGAAACCCTGTACACGGATAGTACTTTTTCCCCAGTGATGTTGCTATGAAGATCGTTGCTATGGCGAATATTATGAGCAAACCATATAGTATAAAGGTCATTCTATAAAAATGTTGAGTGATTGGGTATACAGCAGTCTGGAAACCATGTATCTCAAATTCCTGTAAGAGATATCTAAAAGTGGCCAACGGATAAAATGTTTATCATAATATCAAAAATGTTTTGCCAGTTAACCACTTCTCGATATCTCTTACTGTAACCGAAATATATCGGCTCTAAATTACCTCTTTATCCCGTTCTCTATTTGATCTAAACACACTAATGTATATTGGCAACATCACGATAGGCAATATCATTATTCCCAAATAAATCAGCGTATAAGCAAATTGAAAAAACATCAGCCAGATAGAGTGGTCAGTCATGGTAGCTTTAGTTGCCATTGAGAGATGCAGAGAAGACATACTGTCTGCGTCTCCTGAAGTAGCGCGCGCAGAACTGTCCACAACTTTGTCTGTTTTGAAGATAGACAAATGAAAATTATATAACCAGATTCAGGGCGACAAGGCAATTCAAATGAGTTTAAAGTTGACTGGATTTGGTCGCCTAGCAGATGAATTATAAGTGGATTGAAAACTAGCAGGTGAAAAAACCTGTCATCCTTTATTACAGCAACAAACAATGCATCAAAAATCGAAATAAGCGTCAAAGACCGGAAAATGTGTCAAGACAAAAATCCCTCTTTTCAGATGTGCAACATGGCTTGTAAATTTTTTCGTTTTGAAGATAGATCAATAAAATTTTGAATATTGAAATCAGCAGGTCAAGACAGTTCGAATGAGTCTGAATTCGGCTAGTTTTGCTCATGAAGAAGAGCCTAGCAGATGAGTTTTTGTCTATTATAGAGTTGTCGACTGCACATAAGAGATCCCAACTCGATTTTCTGGATTTCTATTGCCATCCCTGGACCATAAACATTTTAGTGAGAACCATTCTCTCATGAATTTAACATTCCGTCGATTACAAAAAAGATACGGTAATTGAATCGAAACTGGTGTAATAAAAATGTAGCTGACATAAGCGTTGTATTCTGAAAATTCCACCCCAAGCTCTCGTCTTACTATTTGAGCTACTTACATTCGAATCTATGACACTAAATGGAACAGCAATCATGATGAATAACTGTATCTGAAAGGAAACCTTTTAAGAATGATAATCCGTGAAAAATCTTACGGTTTTTAGTAGAAGCGCAAGGAGTGTCTGATACAAAATGTATTTCTGTGGGTTGTTTTCTTCGACAGACGGTAAATGACGAAGACGAAAAATACTAATATAGATCGGGATGTATGGTAATACAGATAATATGAAGATGAGGTTGAAAGAAATTGATAATATCTGAACTTGTTTAGTGTCTTCCATACGAATTATGTTAAAAATTGGCTCGCAAATTAGCGCACATTCAGAAAAATTTTTTGTTTTGATCCATCGTCAACCGGCGTACTCGAAAGACGGTTAAAAGCCATTGGAAGAAATGAATGGAGCATATATAATATGGATTAGAGAGATGATTATTCTTTTTTTTCCCATTCCAAAATTGATTAGCGGTTCTAGTCTAGGAAAAAAGTACAGAGCGAATCTTTGAAGAGCCAAAAATGCTAAAAGTACTCGATGCGTTTGAACCAAATTAACAATAAAGAAAGCACATAAATGGGGCAAAATATCAACGATTGAAACAATTGTATCGGATGTTTCAGTTAAGCTGAAAAAGTTAGATTTATCTGAAAACTGTCAACCGATCATACGCTTTCATCGAAACCGGTATTATAGCAAAAACTATAAAGAAACCATATACCATAATACCATATACTATGACGAATAGCTGTACCTGAAATAGAAACTTTTAAAAATGATGAACTTAATGAAAAGTCTTACAGTTTTTAGTAGAAATGCAAGGAGCGTATGATATAAAATATAATTTTGTGGTTTGTGTTTTTCAACAGATGCTAAATGACGGAGGCAAAAAATGCTAATGTAGATGGGGATGTATAGAAAAGCAGATGATATCAAGATCGAGTTGAAGATAACTGATAATATCTGAAATTTATAAAACCTGTAATAAAAGGGTTCCCTCTAGTGAGACTAGCAAAATTAATCACTTTTCAGCATCTTCAAAGGAAGTTTTTTAAAAATTGGCTCTCAAGTTAGCTCACATTTATAATGAATTCCTGCTTTGGTTTATCTTCTTCAACATTCGTCATCAATTGATTAGTGAATATTAATGAAAGAATCAGTAGAAGAGTTATGAAGTGAATTGAGTAGATCATGATTCTTGTAGTTTTCATTCCAAAATTGATACGTGGTTCGAGTTGCGGGAAAAAAGTATATAAGGAATCTTTGAAGAGCCAAAAGAGCCAAAAGCACTTGATGTGTTTGAACCACATTCAATATAAAGAGACCACAAAAATTGCGCAAACTATCAATAATTGGAAATTTTGAATCGAGTTGTTTAGGAAAGCTGAAAAATTCAGACGTGTCTGGAAACTATACACGGATAGTACATTTTCCCTAAAAGCGCTGATTTGACGAGCAAAATAACAAAACCATAGAACATAACAATTATTCGATAGAAGTGTTGAGTGATCGGGTATACAGCAGTCTGGGAACAAAAATCACTTTAACTTTCAGCACATCTATTTTGGTTACTGTAGAATATATAAAAAAGTAGTCAACTGATAAAATGTTCACCATAAAGTTAGAAACCTTTTGTCAGTTGACTACCTTTCGATATCTCTCACAGTAACCCGAGATATAAGTGCGCAAAGTTGAAAGATCACCTCTCTATCCCGTTCTCTATTCGATCGGAATACACTAATATATACTGGCAATATGACAACGGGCAATATCAGTAATCCCAAGTAAATTAGCCCGAAAATTAGAGGAAAAAGAATGACATGTAATGGAGTAGTTTCAGTTAGAAGACACACAAAATGCGCCAAAACTTTGTTCATTTTGAAGGTAGATAATCGAAAATTATGAGACCGGAATCAACAAGTCGAGAAGTTCAAAATGAGTCTAAATTTGACTAGGTTTACTCAACTGGCAGATGAAGTTTGGGGGATCGCGAACTTTTTTTCATCACGGCAACTAGAAACATCAAAAGCAAAGTTATTTGGGAATTTTTGATAGGAAAGTGTGATTCCGAAATTCCGCCATTTTGAACACCCTGGCGTCACGACACTGGTAACTAGTCAAGGAACGGAAAGTGCGCCAAGGCCCCAAAATTGCGCCAACACGCAAAAGTGTGTGCCAAGACACGGAAAACACGGAGAGGAACAAAACATACGTGGAAGCAAAAAACGTAAAAGCAAGACCGCAAAAAATAAACTGCGAAGAGACGCAGAGAAAACAAACGCTCTAGCTGTCGGCGTCTCTACAACAAGCGCGCGTAAAACTGTTCATAACTTTGTTCATTTTCTAGATAGAAAAGTGCTTTGACGCATTTTTAGTGCCTTGACGCATTTTCAGCGCCTTGGCGCCTTTTAGTGTATTGACGCCTTTTAGTGTATTGGCGCTTTTTCAGTACTTTGACGCATTTCTAGTGCCTCAGAAAATTGGTATTTTCAATATTTTTTCTCAAAAATTTGTCATCTGAAAATGTCAAAAAAAGTGATGTTGAGAAAATTTTTGTATCCTATAATTTTAAGTTTTTCGGGTGCAAATAACGTAAAAATAAAATTTGTCATAAAATTTTTTTCCAAACTCCCATGATTTCTTCAATTTACGACTATGTAGATTCGAATAAAGAGCTAGAAAATGTCCAAAATTTCTGGTCCCTTTCAGATCATTTCAATTTTTTCCTCGAAACTTCTACAATAATTTTTAACCTAATCCATTTATCAATTTTGCTCCAAAAAGAGCTCAGAAAGTTCTCGATTTTTATTTTAATGGCTGGAATTTGTATTTCTGACATTTTGGGATTCTTAGTTTCCCTGATTTTCCTAGATTTATCCCGCGAAGACTCCCAGAAACAAATTCAAGAATTTCGAAATTCTAATTTTCCATTTTGGCTCTGTTTTGATGGTCCCTTCAAAATTCTGGACCCTGCTGGAGTCCTAAAAACTATAATTTTAAACTCCACACGACCAATTTCAATTTGGTTAGCAATTTTTATGGCTTTGATCAGAACGTTGTCGATTATTTTCCCAATGAATTCGAATTTTACGAAACCCAAAAATACAGTAACCCTGGTTACTGTAACTTGTCTATTTTGGATTATTTATTACTCGTGGGAACTGATTTTTGCAGAGATTTGGTGGTTTCCAGATCAAATCTCGTATGGGTGAGTTCATTGCGCCAAGAAACGAGAAACGCGTCAAGACACTAGAAATAGATCAAAGTGCAGAATAAGCGTCATGCTCGAAAAATGCGTCAAAATACGAACAATTCATCAAGACGATGAAATTAAGCTATGACACGAGAATGTCGCCAAGACACCAAAAATGCGCCAAGACGCATTCTCAATTCAATTCGGGTATTTCTGAAGCACTAGTGCAATGTTTTTGTCTTGACGCATTTTTCGTGCTTTGACGCGTTTTAGGTGCCCTGACGCATTACTAGTTCCTTTGCGCATTTCTTGTGTTATGACGCATTTTTCGTACATTGGCGCATTTTTCGTACCTTGACGCAAATTGACACAATTTTTGTGCATTGGCGCCTTTTCTGTGTCTTTGCGCATTTCTCGTGCTTTGGCGAATTTTCAGTGTTTAGACACAATTCTTGTGCCTTGACACATTTATCGTGCCTTGACGCATTTTTCGTGTCTTGACGCATTTTTCGAGCCCTGACTTTTTCAAATTTTCAGCTGCAATCTCAAAACCCAAGCTCGTAAATACACCCATTACGTTTTGGCACTATCCACGGATTTTTTAATGGAATCCCGGGAAAATCGAGAATATTTGGTCCGCCTGATCCCTGTATTTTTCTATCCAATTCTCACAGTTTCTCTACTTTTTGAGTTGTATAAAATCAAAAAACGAAGGAAAATTTTATCAAAAAATCAGGAAAATTCGTCGGATAATACTGTAATTTTGGTGTTTTTCATGACTGTTTCATTCATGTTATCCGAAGGTTTGGCGGGAATTTCAAATTTTTATGAAGTTTCAAGTTTTTCTGATCGTTCAGAGATTTTGTGAGTTTTTAAATTAAAAAAAAAAGTTTTACTGAAAAATTTTTTCAGAGAAAATTCAATTTTCACAATCCGTCTTTTATACAATTTACGAGCATTCAATGCAAATTCACACTGTTTTGTTTGCTTTTTCATGTCTTCACAGTATCGGGATACTGTAAGAAGAATGACTTGTTTTTGGAAGAAAATTAAAAATAAGAAAAATGTGAAAAAATGTTTTTTTTTGAATTTAAAAAATTTTTATTTTTCAGGTGAAAGTTTTTGCAATATCTGCTAAAACATTTTATTTGGTGCATTCTAAGACTCTGTGATTTCGATTAACTTTTCAATTATTTCTGAATATCTGAATTTCTGAATTTCTGAATTTCTGAATTTCTGAATTTCTGAATTTCTGAATTTTCGAATTTCTGAATTTCTGAACTTCTGAATTTCTGAATTTCTGAATTTCTGAATTTCTGAATTTCTGAATTTCTGAATTTCTGAATTTCTGAATTTCTGAATTTCTGAATTTCTGAATTTCTGAATTTCTGAATTTCTGAATTTCTGAATTTCTGAATTTCTGAATTTCTGAATTTCTGAATTTCTGAATTTCTGAATTTCTGAATTTCTGAATTTCTGAATTTCTGAATTTCTGAATTTCTGAATTTCTGAATTTCTGAATTTCTGAATTTCTGAATTTCTGAATTTCTGAATTTTTAAATTTTTGAAATTTTGAATTTTTGAAATTTTGAATTTTCGATTTTTTCAAATTTGAATTTTTTCAATTTTTCAATTTTTGAATTTCCGAATTTTTTGCCATGTCAAAAAATTCTGATTGTTCAGAAACCTCTCAATCTTTAAAGTTTTTGAAATTCTTGTTATTTTCGTAATCTTAGAGTATCCGGGATTCTCTGAAAAAAAACAAGGTAGAAAATAAAACAGATTTTTTCATAAGAAAACTGGCAACACTTTTACAAAATCAAATAAATAAATATCAGCGAATTTTATCGATTTTGATATAGCAGTGATAGCCCATTTCTTCCATCTTGAATTCCAAGAATTCGTTGGATTCTGGGATTTGATAACGATGAGTAATAATTAAGCGTTCCTTCTGAGCTAATGGACCAAATGGAATCTCTGCTGCAAGTGCTTCAGCAACAGTTCGAATGTCAAAATCATTCAGGTAATTGGCACGTTTCAGCTCACAAGATTCAAATTGTTTGAAGGTGGAAATAATCTGAAATTAGACTTTTTCGTTTAGCAATTTATATAATTAACTCACATCTCGAATTCTCTGAAAATCTACTCGTGAAGGTAACCCACATTCGAAACTTTTCAAATGACTGAATTTCAATAGATCATCCTCATTCAAACACATATTTGATTGTACATTCTTTGCCTGTTGGAATTGCTCAGTATCCAAAAACTTTGTAATTTCTTCTCTTGTGAAAGTGTCCAGTGAACTGAAGTTAATAGACTCCAGTTCTCCGGGATTCATTGCTGTTAATAGTTCGAGAGATTTGTTGATACTGAATGAATTGATGGAAACGCGTTTTGCATGGAATGGGACTGGTAGAAGATCGTCAAAATATGCAGATTCTTTCTTGATATTCAAGGAAAGATGATTGACTTCAAGATTGGGCATTTTCAGCACTGGAGACAAGTATTCCAGTCCCTTTTTTAGATAGTATTCGTCACTTTTGATTTCTGGGAAATTGGGTATCTTTAAAGAACAGCCATTGCCATTCAGATAGCATCCAAACGATTTGTTATCCAATCTCCAAGTCAGCCAAGTATCGTATGTTGATATATCGATTTTATGGAATCTCAGTGGGTGCGAATCAGAAACGGCTTTGATAGATTTGTTCATGGATCGGAGATAAGTTCTGAAAACAATAAGAAATGTTAGGAACAATTTCTAATTGAAAAACCTTTCCACAGTATCTAGGTTCTCTGTAATCTTGTACAACAAGGAAGCTGGCATATTCATAATAGTTTTTGGCACTGGATCCGTCTTCCGATCATAGTTGAAATCATGTTGCTTGTGCAAAAATCGATAATACCAGAATTCAAAATCCGTGTACTCCATGGCATCCTTTCCTACAGTATCACTGAAACTTTTATAGGCATCGAAGACGGGTTTCTTCTCGAGAGCTTCGTAAAGGATACATGTTTTCAAACAGTGATCGTCGTTCTTGATGAACTCGGCAGATTCGTTCATAGTTTCTGGAATTCTAGAGAATTGAGGGCGCGCAAGGAAAAATTGAAAAGAGAGTAGCTTAACAATAAAAAAGCCGAAGTTTTGAGAAGCAGATGAAATGTAGTAGATAAATGTAGAACATGGAAAATGAGGATATGAAATTGAGTGAGCCAATAAATAAACAATCAATACCAGTGTTTTTTTACTGTGGTGAAACAGGAACGTCTCCAAAAAAGTTCAAAATCGAAATTTTGAAAGGAAAGTTTGGGCATGACTGCGTTGCTATGTCGGATTATCTGTGAAAATTTGTGAAGTTTCGGTCCAACCGGGAATGCGCTAGGGTCGGCGACACGGAACAAACGGAGACACACACACACAAACACACACACACACACACACACACACACACACACACACACACACAAACACACACACACACACACACATACACACACACACACACACATACACACACACACAGAATTTGGTGATTGTTAATACTAAAGATCCCAAATCGCTGGCCTGATTGGATAAACACACTGAATGAGCAAATGAGTGTCCTCAGGAAACAGCACCCAGATGACGTGGCAGGAGGCGGAGCCAGAAGACACATACGACGAAGACAGATGTGAGTGTCATCCTACGAGGCCTCCCTCTCCAATTTTCCAGATTGTCTAGTGTTAATAGAACGTGCGTATAGGGAATGTGTCGCAGTATTGTGAGTAGGATGCCGTTGAGCCAGCAAGGACCTTCCCACGAGACATCTCTTTGCCATGTCCACTCCGTTCCCACTATTCTGGTGACGTGACAGATTGTAGACTCACTCACACAACAGATCCAATAAATACGAAAACTATGAAGGCCTTCCCATAAGACACCATTACATTTTATGGCAGGACCACCTAACAACGTACAACTGGAACGCACCTTAGGCGCTCCATAGATAGTCATGGGAGGAGGAGATCTGATTCTCCACATTGAAATAGGTAAAACGATCAATTACATTTATTTTCAAAAAAAAAAGACAACGCAATAGAAACGAAATAAAAAAATGCAGGAATACCAACTGAATCAGCGAACTTTGACGATTTTGATAGTGCTATAATACTCTTCCTGTTCAATCTCGAATTCCAGATGTTCATTAGATTCCGGAATTGGATAACTATGCTTGATAGTCTTCAATGGCCCGAATGGAATTTCTTCTTCTAGTGCTTGAGCAATAATATGAACTGGAAACCAGTCATCACGGTACTTGAGCTCACACGATTCGAGTACTTCCAAAGTAGAAATTATCTAGAACGATGTTTTTTTTTTGGCAATTCGTATGAATAACTCACCTCTCGAATTCTCTGAAAATCCACTGGTTCGAGAAAAATGAGTTTACATTTAAAACTTTTCAAGTGACTGAATTTCAATAGATCCTCCTCATTCAAGTATTCTTCGAATTGCACATGCTTTGCTTGTTTGAATTGTTCAGTTTCGAAAAATCTCAACATTTGTTCTCTGTCGCCCCTACAACATGGTTCCAAGTTGATGGATTCGAGTTCTCCTGGATTCAAAGCTGCTAAGAATGGAAATGTTTGGTTCATGTGGAGCGCATAGAGTTTCACACTCTTTGCATGAAACGGGACTGGCAGAAAATTATCGAGTTCTGACGTTTCTCTATGCAATGATAGGGAAAGATGATGCACTTGGATATTAGCCATTTTTAGCATTCGTTGCAGGTATTCTAATCCCATTTCCATAACGCTTTTGTCACTTTCAATTTTCTTAGTGGGTGTGTAAAGGGTACACCCGTTCTCCGCTTTCAAGCAGCGAAATATTTTATCGTTCAAATACCAATGCAGACCATTAGCGAATACAGTAATCTGAAGTCTATCAAAAATCAATCGGTGAGAATCGGCAACATCCCTGAGAGATTTGTTCATGGATCGAAGATAAGTTCTGGAAATCAAAACAAAAATGCACAACTAACTTTAAATCCAACCAACCTTTCCACTGTATCCAGGTTCTCTGTAATTTTGTACATCAATAAAACAGGCATATCCATAATAGTTTTTGGTACTGGATCCATGTTCCGATCATAGTTAAAATCAAGTTGCTTGTGATAAAATCGAAAATACCAAAACTCAAAATCCGGGTAGTCCATGGCATCGTTTCCAACTAATTTACAGAAATTTCTATAGGAACTGAAGATTGGCTTCTTCTTGATAGTTTCGTATAGAATACAAGTCATTATAGAGCGATTGTTGTTCTTGATAACCTCAGAAGATTCATCAATCGTTTCTGCCATAGTAATGAAGGTTTCCAAAATTGGAGAAGAATAAACAAGACGTCTGTAGACAGGCAGAATGAGCAAATGAGTGTCCGATCAGGAGACAGTACCCATCCATCCGATGACGTGGCAAGGGCGGGACATCAGGCAACAGGCATCCACCCATCAGGAGCAGTACAAAAAACCTTCCCATAAGGCATCGCTTTGCCACGTCCACTCCGTTCCCAAGACACTATTCTGATGACGTGATAGATTGTAGACTCATCCAATAGATACATAAAAAGTGGAAACTAGGCAGGCCTTCCCATAAGGCGCAATTACATTTTATGGCAGGACCACCTAACAACGTACAATTGGAACATACCATAGATGCTCCATAGATAGCCATGGAAGGCAGAACTTCATATACCTCTAATTCTCCATATTGAAATAGATAAAACAATTAAATATATTTATTTTCAAAGGATGACAAATTCGGAAAAAAAATTAGCATGAACAGTGAGATTAATGTTGCAATAGTCTTGCAAACATTACGTAATAGAAATATTACTACGGTAGATAAAAAAATTTTATAGTAGGAAATTCCAGAATGCGATCACAAAAAGTATCAGAAGCAAAGCGTCATGATTTCCAGTTGAATTGGTCGTGGTGACTACGGTATTGGTGGTTGCTTCAGGTTTAGACGGTAGTTTTGTAGCAGTGGCTAATTTATTCGTGGATGTGGTTGTTTCAATAGCAGTCGGTGGTTGTGTGGTTGTCCTAATTGGAGGTAATTCAAATACAAAATACTGGCAATACAGTCTTCCTGGTTCGAAATATTTGTGGTTAATGACAAATGATTTGGAGACCATATTAGTGGAAAACTGCCCATGAACTATTTTGTTTTTAGAGTCAAAACATCGTTGAAAATCCGTACCGCCTTTGACAGCGTTCTTGAAGATTATACAAACACCATCTGTCAGATCAATGGCAGTTACTGTGAAACCTGTAATAGAAGGGCTATCATACTGTCAAAGTTAAGCTCCTGTAAATTTTTTCTGTAAAAGATATCAAAAACGTATCAACTCTGATAAAATGTTTGTGATTTTCCTAAAACGCTAGAGGCGTCTGTCCGTCCTCGTGTCAATCTGTCAACTTTTGAAAAGCTTGAAAATTAAATAAAAATTTACGTGAACTGAGTAGCGGAGCCGCGAATTTTGAGATTTTGAAAATGAAAAATAGTGATAATCAAAGAAAGGATAACAGCAAATGGGCCTATCACAATTGATTACAGAACTTCTCAAAGATTTTTTGAAAAAAGTGGATGACTAACATAGGGGGTTCTTCTGGACGACGAAGGCATTTGAAGCGCGGATCATAAGAAGGATAGTCTGAAATATGAGTTTTAGAGTTTTCATATTTTCGAATTCTTGGAACTTGGGAGTTTCTTGAAATTGTGAGTATCTGAGCTTCAAGAGTTTACAAATTTATAATTTTCCAAAGACTTGAGAATTTCGAAATTTCTGGAACTCAAAAACTTCCGAAGTTTTTGGATTTTTGGAAATTTAAGATTTCTCGGTTTTTTTTTCATTTTGATTTCTTTTTAGAATCTTTTCGAATTTTTGAATTTCTGAATTATGACATGTCTTTCAAAAATTTACTGTATAAAGAACCGCATTAACTGTTTCTATTGATTTCTTGATTTCCAATGACTCAACTGTCGATCAAAACTCAAACAAGACAGAAATCAGTCATCGTCAGAAGAGGACAAAAAAGCGAAATGTGGGCCTGAAAATGTTAAACTGATAAGGAAATTTTGAGAAAAAAGAGGTGAATGTTTGCTTAAAATGGTGCTGAAAAAGGACTCGTTTTGTCATTCTCGTTAGAATTTTCGATAGAATTTTCGGTTTTTTTCTCTTAAATATTCCATTTTTACGATCTAGAATATTTTGCAATGGTTTTGAAACTATTTTTGGTGAGTGTTAGGTTTTTTTTAATTCGAAATTTTCGAAATTCAGAAATTCAGAAATTCAGAAATTCAGAAATTCAGAAATTCAGAAATTCAGAAATTCAGAAATTCAGAAATTCAGAAATTCAGAAATTCAGAAATTCAGAAATTCAGAAATTCAGAAATTCAGAAATTCAGAAATTCAGAAATTCAGAAATTCAGAAATTCAGAAATTCAGAATTTTTTTTTGAATATTTCAATTTCCAATTATAAACTTGGAAATTGAAATATTAAAAAAATGTAAGTTTCCAAAATTTCCAGACCCTCCTTCTTCTGTTCCACACTTCCAATGCCTTCGTGGTCCAAGAAAACCACCCTCCTCCTTCTTTCCCAAGGCCCCACTACACTGGAAAAGCCCTCGTCGCCCATATAAACAGCATGCAAACTTCTTGGATAGCCGAACACAATGATATTTCTGAGGACGAGATGAAATTCAAAGTAATGGATCAACGATTTGCGGATCCTTTGGAAGAAGAGGTTCAAGATGAGGGTTTGGTCCGTGGAGAAGTGGTCCCAGAACCCTTACCAGACACTTTTGATGCCAGGGACCAATGGCCAGACTGCAAATCATTAAAATTCATTCGAAACCAAGCCTCGTGTGGATCCTGCTGGGCATTTGGAGCAGCTGAAGTGATATCTGACCGTGTTTGTATTCAATCGAATGGAACTCAACAGCCCATAATCTCAGCAGAAGATATTTTGTCCTGTTGTGGGTCTACCTGTGGTAAAGGATGTCAAGGAGGTTATACAATTGAGGCAATGAAGTACTGGATGAATTCTGGAGTGGTTACTGGAGGAGACTATAATGGGGCTGGGTGTATGCCATATTCATTCCCACCTTGCAAAAAATCTCCTTGCGTTGAATTCTCGACACCCAGTTGTAAAACTACTTGTCAGGAGAAATACACCACTGCGGATTATAAGAACGATAAGCATTTTGGTAAGAAAGCCCATTTCTAAATTTTAGAAAACTAGTCGTGTTTATATTCATTCCAATTGTCTTGACCTGCTGAATGTGAACATATAATTGCTATCCATCTATCCTAAAAATGAGTGAGCAAAGTTATAGACACTCTGCGCGCGCTCAGAAAAAGGAAAGATGCAGACAGCTAGAGTGTCTAGCTTCTCTGCGTCTCTCTGTAGTTTTTCCTAGCCGTCTTTATATTCGTTTAAACCGTCATGGTCTTTTGAAAATAGTCACACAATTTTTATTCTTCTACCTTCAAAATGAGCAAAGTTACACGCTCTTCTGTGCGCGCTCTGTGAAAGAAAAGACGCAGACAGTTAGAGAGCCTAGCTTCTATGCGTTTCTCTGCTTTCCAGTTTTTCACTTTCCCCAAAATGTTCATATCTATTCTTCAAAAATACAGAGAAGCCCTACAATATTGAGTTGTAGAGAGACTCAGAGAAGACATACTCTCTAACTGTCTGCGCCTCCCCCCCCCCTCTTTTCCAGAGCTTGCGCAAAACAGTCTGTAACGTTTTCAATTTTATAGATGAAACTATCAAAATTATATCATTAGAATCAGCAATTTAAGACGGTTTGAATAAGTATAAACATGACAGAAAACCCAACAATTTTCAGCCACCTCCGCCTACAAACTCTCCACCACCAAGAACGCCGTTCCAACGATTCAATACGAAATCTACCATAACGGTCCTGTAGAGGCATCCTACAGAGTATTCGAAGATTTTTATCAATACAAATCAGGAGTTTATCATCATGTATCCGGGAATTTAGTCGGAGGACATGCTGTGAAAATTATTGGATGGGGAACTGAAAATGGGGTCGATTATTGGCTGGTTGCCAATTCATGGGGTACCAGTTTCGGGGAAAAAGGATTCTTCAAAATTCGAAGAGGAACTAATGAATGTCAAATTGAATCGAATATAGTGGCTGGACTTGCTAAATTGGGAACTGTGAGATTTTAAATTTTTTGAAGTTTTTGAAATTTTGAAAATTCTGCCCATGGTTGGGCTCATTTTGACCGCCTCAGCCTACTGATTTCAAACATTTTATTTTCAAATTCTTCTAAATTAAACTGAGCAATTTACAGCACAACGAAAAAACGGACGATGACGATGGTTCGGCGACATCTTGCAGTTTTATCATGTGTACACTTCTTGTTTTATCATATTATTTGTTCTAAAAATGGACAATTTTTTCCGGGAAAAAGAGTGACTAATAAAAATAGGTCATCATTTTTTGTGTGTCTTGACGGGGCGAATTTTATAATGTATAATTTTTTTTGGTTTGATGAAATAAATCAAAAATTGTAAAATTGGAAAATTGGGGAAAGCGAGAATATTGAGTTTCAGATTTTCTGAATTTCTGAATTAAGAAATATCAGGATTTCAGAATATCAGAATTTCAGAAACTTAGAGTTTCAGAATTTCAAAATTTTCGAATCTCTAGATTTTCAAAACTCCTGAACTTCAGGTTCTTTAGAATTTGTGAATTCTTTTTTAATTTCCGAATTTCCGAATTTTTTGATTTTTCGGATTTATGAACTTATGATTTTCAGAATTTCAGATTTTTTCAGAATTTTTTTTTGATTTTATTGGAACTCGAGGATTTTTCTGATTCAGTTTTTTTTCTGAATTTCTGAATTTCTGAATTTCTGAATTTCTGAATTTCTGAATTTCTGAATTTCTGAATTTCTGAATTTCTGAATTTCTGAATTTCTGAATTTCTGAATTTCTGAATTTCTGAATTTCTGAATTTCTGAATTTCTGAATTGCTGAATTTCTGAATTTCTGAATTTCTGATTTTCTGAATTTCTGAATTTCTGAATCTCTGAATTTCTGAATTTCTGAATTTCTGAATTT